GCCACTGCCCACCAGCCACTGCCCCCCGCCACTGCCCCCAGCCACTGCACCCAGCCACTGCCCCCTAGCCCCTGCACCCCAGGGGCAGGTCCTGCTTCCCTTTTCCCTTCTCCTGTTTTTTTGTTTTGGTCGGTCGTGGGGCCTCAACTCTGGGCCTGGGTGCTGTCCCTCAGCTCTTCAGCTCTGAGGGACAGCGCCCAGGCCCAGAGTTCAGGCCCCACGACCAACCACTTGAGCCACAGCGCCACTTCTGGCTATTTTGCTGGTTAATTGGAGATAAGAGTCTCAGGGAGGGGCTGGGAAGGTGGCTCAGTGGTAGAGTGCTCACCTCGCATGCATGAGGCCCTGGGTTCGATTCCTCAGCACCACATACACAGAAAAGGCTGGAAATGGAGATGTGGTTCAAGTGGTAGAGTGCTAGCCTTAAGCTGAAGAACTGAGGGACAGCGCCCAGGCCCAGAGTTCAAGCCCAGGACTGGCAAAAAAAAAAGTCTCATGGACTTTCCTGCCCAGGCTGGCTTTGAACTGCGATCCTCAGATCTCAGCTTCCTGAGTAGCTGGGATGACAGGCGTGAGCCACCGGCGCCCGACTCCAAATGGTTTTTAAAGAGCATTTTGGACAGGATGGAAGGTATGGCTCAAGTGATAGAGCATGAGGCCCTGAGTTCAAGCCCTGACACTACTGTGTGTGTGCACGCACACGTGCAAGCACACACGTACACACATGTGCAAACTGGTACATTCTAGAGATGATCATTTAATGTATTACTATTTTAGGAAAGCAATTCCATCTCTGTGTCACAGATACGTGGGTCACTCAGAGACTGTCTCTTGTTCAAATGCCCTCCTGGGCTTGGTCCCCCTGAGTGGACAGGGGTCTCCAGCATGGCCATGTCTGTGCCGCCGCCATTTCTCCATCCCGGCCAACCTCCCTGGCCTTCCCGGGCCAAGCCTTTCCCACCAGGCAGAGCGACCTTTCAAAGCCTGTCTTCTGTTCTCGAGCCTCTAGCTGGAGTCCGTAGGGCAGTTGGAAACAGTTTCACAGAGGGTTTTGGTACTTTACGCACTCTGACGGGATGGGTGGAATTAACTATATCTATCAGTGACCAAAGCAAGTTCAGTCCCTTACTTGGAAAATTACAGAAGCACAGGCTTTTCAGTACATTAAGTCTGCAGCCACGTTCGTTGTCTCTGCGTCTTTAGATTTTGCAAAAGGGAACTGAAATCCAGCCAGCCGTATCAGGAGCCCGTTCAAAAAGTGAACAAAGAAGCACATGAAAACGACCCAGAAGGAGGTGGTGTATCTTTCACTCTGCGTTCTGTAGGCGAACGTCCCTTCTTTGAAGTTTGCAATTTTTTCTGAGAGGTGGTGGATTTTCACCTCTGAGGCAAACAGGATCATGACCAGACAGCCGCAGGACCCTGCAACAGAAGGGGCACGTGGGTATCCTGCCCGGGGGGCAGGGGCGAGGGTGGGGCCGCCCGAGGCTCCCCCCGGTGCTCGCGGGCCTGGCTCTGCACCGCTGAAGCAGACCTGCGGGGCACCTCGCACACACAAGGGCAGAATCGGGGTGCCAGGCTCTGTGGCTTCAAGAGAACAAATGCCCCAGGCCTCCCAGGGAAGGTGACCACACCGCCGGCCCTCAGCCGGCCTCGGCGGCCAGAGGAGCCTCTGGGCCCAGGCGGGACTCGAACTCAGTGCAGTGAGCTTGCTGGGCCAGCTCTCCACCGCCCGAGCCAAGCCCCAAGCCCTTGTTTTTGAGATAGGGTCTCAATCTCCTGCCTCTGTGTCCACGAAGCAGAGCTCCAGGCCTGTGCCACCGTGCCTGTCTGTCTGTCCAGACTCGGATTTGTCTGGCTGTGGAGGATAGAGTCGCTGCTCAGCCAGTGAGGGGGCAGGGCCCTGTGGACGGCTCCTCCCCGCCCGCCGTGGCTCCAGCAGAGGCTGTGAACTCGGCGTGGGTCTGGTCCCCGAGCCTCTCTGTGTTCAAGGCTGGCGCTCTACCACTGGAGCCATAAACCACTTCCAGCCTTTTCAGAGTGGCTTGTGGGAGATAAGAGTCTCAGGGACGTCTCTGGCCCTGCTGGTTTCAAACCAGGATCCTCAGATCCCAGGCTCCCGAGTAGCTAGTGTGACAGCCATGCTTACAGCTGCTGCTTGAGGGCAGGGAAAGGCTTCTTATTCTCCCATTACAGTTAATCCAAATACCCTGGGCACAGCAGCCACGCGGCTTCCGTTCCCCGTCATTAATTCACTCCTTTCAATTATGGGCCACACAGGGACAGTGGTGGAGGCCCAACATGAAAGACAGTACAGATGTGTTCTACATTCCAAGAAGTGTGGCTGAACAAGGGTCGAAAAACACTAATAAACCAGCCACAGGTGGGGAGGGGGGGGGCTGGAGCGTCGAGAGGGGCGCAGCGTGGGCAGAGCTGCTGGGGGGCGCAGCGTGGGCAGAGCTGCTGGGGGGTGCAGCGTGGGCAGAGCTGCTGGGGGGCACAGCCTGGGCAGAGCTGCTGGGGGTGCAGCGTGGGCAGCAGCTGCTGGGGGGCGCAGCGTGGGCAGAGCTGCTGGGGGTGCAGCGTGGGCAGAGCTGCTGGGGGTGCAGCGTGGGCAGCAGCTGCTGGGGGTGCAGCGTGGGCAGCAGGTGCTGGGGGTGCAGCGTGGGCAGAGCTGCTGGGGGTGCAGCGTGGGCAGCAGGTGCTGGGGGTGCAGCGTGGGCAGAGCTGCTGGGGGCGCAGCGTGGGCAGCAGGTGCTGGGGGCGCAGCGTGGGCAGCAGGTGCTGGGGGTGCAGCGTGGGCAGCAGGTGCTGGGGGCGCAGCGTGGGCAGAGCTGCTGGGGG